GAACACTCGTGCTAGCCCGGTGCAGTTTCCCCAAACTCACGCTACATCAGTTTCATCACTCGCTTTACAAACACATCCAAAACTGATGTTCCTTACCTTAAAGTTACTGGTCAGGCCCTTTGTAATGATGAAGAAGGGAAACACGCTGTCCACCTGCCGAGGACCGCAAAAAGTCCTGCTCCTCCTCCATGTAATAATCCGTAAAAAACTCTGAAAACACGATGCACGAGCACGAGTCCTTGTGCTTTGGTCAAATCTGTCAGTCCGTCCAACAATAATCCTCCAGTATTCTCACTTTAGCCGTTTTTCAGCGGTTTACAGAGACGTGTTTACTTCTTCTTCTTCTGTCGATTATTGGCGGGTGGCAACCAGCAGCTTAGGTGCATACCGCCACCTACTGTACCGTGTGTGTCTCGGGAAGCTAGTTACTTCAGGTTACATTCTGATTGTGCATAGCTTTCCACCCCGGAGGGGGGCAAACCGAGATGTGTTTACATTTCAGCCGCTCTGAGATGATGGTGGGCGGTGCCACATAAACACCGCTTGTGTGTGTGTGTGTGTGTGTGTGTGTGTGTGTGTGTGTGTGTGTGTGTGTGTGTTCGTGTTCCTTGTTTTTTAATTTAATTTGTTTTTATCTAAAGCACTTTCTGTTGCCTTATGGCAGGAAAAGTACTTATGAAATAAAATTTGATAAAAAAAAAAAAAAATATCTTTTTTTTTTCTCTCCTGCACCTCAAAGAATCGGAATCGAGAATCGTTTAGAACAGGAATCGATAGTGAGAATCGGAACCGGAATCGGAAAATTGCCTACGATGCCCAACCCTAGTAAAACAGTGGAGGGCAGGACATTGAAATGAAAACAATAACAAGGCTGTAAAACTAATTCTCGCTGAATATCTCGCTGAACTATTGTTATCAGTTAAAGAAGTATTCAAAAAGAGCATGATTTATTAATGCCTTTTGAGATGAAAATCTTACATATTACTACTTTAATGTTAGAAGTACTGGAGTTTATAGGACCTTTAATAAGGAAAAGTAGTACAAAAAGATAGAATAGATCAATTACAAAAACAGAAGGACCTGAGTTACAAGGTCATAAAGCAGGCTAGTTTCTCCACAACATTTCTGAAGTGTTGAGGTGTTTGGTACCATGAGATAATGAAAGTGGGCTTGAGGAAATGGCTCTAAATTCCATCATAATCTTTATTGATGATTAGCTTTATAATATTCTCGGAAGGTTGGTAGAGGACACTCTTTACAGTGTGCACACAGGCTGTAAAAGTAATTTAAAGTTTTGGTAATATGGTTCAGCAAATGTATCATCCAGGGTAGAAGGTTGGAAGCTCTCTGAGGTGACATATCGAATCACAAGATGAAAAACACCAGTGCAGTACTAATGCTATTTAATAACACTTACTCAATGATGCTGCGCTACTCAAGGCCCAAATCAATTATTCAATGCTAGAAATATGTCTACAGGGAGCTGAGGAATTGTAAAACATAAACTCAGCCTTAGAAATCTAAACAACAAATAAAACTTGTCCTTCAATTGCTCTTTAAGCAGGTGCGACTGAAGCCCTGAAGGCAGCATTACTCTGAGAAGCAAAGTGGTCCTGCTGCGATTAGTGGCACAGAAGACTGGACCAGAGGAGAGTACACGAAGCCAAAGGAGCAAAGGGACTGAGAACGACATGGTCTGTGAAAGGAACGCTCATTTGTGAAAATGTCCTGGATACCTCTCACTCCACATGTGTGCCAACACTCTCTCTAACCACAGTAACCAGTTCATTTTGGAATGAGACAAAGACCAGTGAGACTTATGAGAAACATCAAACAAATGACCATGTATCTTCTCCTCATAATGTTATCAAAATAAACCATCAACATGAGTTTTACTTGATATAATATTAAGTAAAACTATCTATAAGCTTCACTATAGATAGGTTAGTTTAGGCGGAAATTCAGTCTGAAAGACAGGAAGAACAAAGCTCACTGGGCTCAAGTAATGGCTCTATAATAATATCTGGATAGGGTATTACTAGCTTATAGCTGTGCCACTAATGGGCACAGTACCAATGGCCCGTGGTACTGCAGACTAAATTCACGTGGGCTACCCAGAAAAAAGTCCCACAGAACTCAATGTAAACTAAAACAGCTCGATCTCAGCTGACAGAGAACCAACAGCTTTCATAAAGGTCTGATTTTGTGAAGATTTTAGTGTCCCTTGATGTTTTTTTCTTGTTGAATTTTTCCGTTTTCTTTAAATCCACACGTTAATACAACAAACTCTGCTCCACTCTAGCTACGCTCTGATCAGAAGCGCTGATTAGTCAGATCGCGGCCGAGCCCCTCTGTGCACGTGCATGAGAGCCACACATGCGTATTTGGTGCAAAGCATCATAGAAGCTTGTTCGCTGCGCAGAACCGGGAGGACCAGACGATGCCCAAATATGGGCGAGTTACGCTACTCTTTCTTCATATCGCAAGGAAGCTTCATCCAACCCCTTTTCAAACCTTGAACATATGTGTCTGAACATTTGTAAAATGTGTTTCCTGTGCAGGTTTTGAAATTAATAATTCAATTCAATTTCATTCAAGCAGCAGCTTTCATTCATGCATCAACCCTCCTGCTCCCCGTCTCCGCCTCATCAGCCCGTTCTTATCCCTTCTCCTAGCTATCACCACCAGGGTCTAGGCCCAAGGGATTTCATCTCATAATCTCTATCTTCGTTTACCCTTCTGCAATCATCATGCCGTGCTCTTCCGGGGTCTAAGCACCAAATCTTAACCACATTTCTCGTACAGCAGCAATAAATACTGTATAACCTCGCAAATATTGTCTTCATAGTCATACTACTTTATGCAGTGTCAGTTAATTGCCAACCAATATACAATTCTTATAAAGCCCCTGTTTTGTTTATTCCAGTCTCTCTTCATGTAGTATGTCCTACAAGAAGTCTACATGTCTAGAATCTCTCCCTTTACACTTTCAGAAAGAGGTGATCTCCTGAGAAACATAAAATGTGTGTATTATATTGTGATCAGATTAAGTTTGAAAAAGTAATAATCAAAATAAAGTTAGAAGAAGTGCTATTAAGACAAACTTTCTCAGGAAGCTATTGGCCATTTATAGCAGTCTAGACTGGGATTGATGCCAGTTCACACAGAACGCTGTGACATACTGATTGTTGTTGTTTCTGGAGCTTTAAAACTCAGTTACTCAAAGTAAACACGTATTATTTCATGTTCACATCAATAGCAGACGTCTTTGCATCAAGTCATCAAAAAGTGTGATGTTGTAGATTCAATAAAATATACTGAAAACAGATACAAGCCTCTACTCCATCAATGTCTTTAAACTGTGCAGCAATACAGTTCAGACATTGACAAATCCTCGGTCTCTGAGCACTCAATTGACTCTAGCAACACTGACATTCACAAATGTAATTCACAAAAACTAATGACAATGACCACTTTAATGTGTCATTAGCTGCGTTTCCATTGAGCATCAAATTTCGAAATTTGAATTTGCGCATCATAAAATGTCTAATGGAAACGCGCAAATTTCGAATAAACCACAGTTTTTCGATAAAAAGTTAATGCGCTTAAAATAGGTGGTTTTTTGGACGTATCGAAATTAAGTTTTTCGCAAAACGGCAATGGAAACACTTATTTCGATATAGCGGAGGAAGCCGAGCTGCTTTATTCAGTGAGTTTTGGCTGCGCTTCGTGTGGAGACTTGGAAGATACGTGGGAGAGGCATGGGGGAGAGACGGGGAAGATACGTGGGAGAGGCATGGGGGAGAGACGGGGGGGAGACGGGGAAGAGACGGGGAAGAGACGGGGAAGAGACTGGGAAGAGACGGGGGAGAGACGGGGGAGACAGGCAAGACCCGTGTCTATGGTTCTGTGCGCGCGTCCGCGCTCGGTACATGACCACGCGCGTTCGCGGAGCTGTCAAAGCAGCCACAGTTTCTCCCGGGGTCAGAGAGGATGAGAGTCGCAGCAGAAGTCAAGACATTAATATATCTCACGTAAATCAAAGTGTTGTTTACTTCTGTTGCCATGTTGACGTACTAGAAACTAGTGAATAAACGCGCGACCATAGTGTATATTCGAATACGTCTTAATGGAAACGGCCGCTTTTGCGAATTACAGGTTTTTCGAATTTTGAAATGTACCGAAAAAGTTTTTGCGCATTAAACGCAGCTACTGTCATTAGTTTGTGTGAATTACATGAGTTCAAACATTCTGAATGATAAAGTTATTATTGGATAAAGAACCAGGGAAATGAGCACTTCACTGACCATTAGTGACATGCCCAGACATTAGACAGACAAAGCACCAAAGCATTTATTACCAACACCGAAGTAAAGTGGTTGTGTTATGGCTATGCACCACATAGTTGGCTTCAAAAGAGTTCATTAGGACTTCCGGTGACGATGAAACTGGGCATGGACGCGTGAAAACTGCGCTAGGGCACTGGCCTTTCTAATTCCCTAGACCCGAGATCCATATTCTGTCAAAAAACGTTTAATACGTTGCTTTAATGAGTGGGGACAGGACTAACAAGAGCAGATACGGGCTACGAAACTACCCGGACCCAGAAATGAAAGAGGACACACCGGCTAACGAAGTGGAGCTAACAGCGGAGCAACATGGCGACCGTAGCATTAGCATGGACATGATTCGAGAAGCATTGAAAGATGCCATGACCTCACACAGAAATCAAGAAGGACCTGGAAAACTTCCGTTCTGAAATATGTGAGGAAATGAAGAAACAAACGGGGGAACTAGCGACTGAAATGAGTCAAAAACTTCATGATACCAACATACGAGTGAGTGCGGTGGAGGAGCGGCTACAACAGGTGGAGGACAGCATGGCCGAGTCCGAGAGATGGGATATCGGAGTGAAGAACACGCTCGTACAACTACTATAGAGCCAGCGGGCTCTCCAGGATAAAGTCTCGGACCTGGAGGGCCGTGCGAGGCGAAACAATATGAGACTGTACGGCGTGCCTGAAGGCTCCGAGGGCACATCCATGGTGGCATTTATCGATAACCTTATCAAGAGCGAGCTTGGAGGAGACGCTCCCATGGACAGAAACCTTGGCATCGAGCGTGCCCACCGTGCATTAGGACCCAAACCACCTGCTAGTGCCCCACCGCGCTCTATAATAGTCCGCTTCCTCAGTTTTTCAATCAAAGAGACCATACTCCACGCAGCTTGGAAGAAGACGGTACGAATCCAGGGTAAGCAAGTGTACTTTGACCACGATTACGCACTGGAGGTGCAGAAAAGAAGGAAGGAGTACATCCCTATTAAGCGCGCACTGAAAGAGAAAGGGATTCGTTTCCAAACTCTACTCACCAAGATGCGCGTCTTCTACACGTCGGGAAGCGTCCTCTACGACAGCGCTATCCAAGCCGCTGAGGATCTGCGGAAGCGGGGCATGGACGTGGACCGGGTCCCTGTCACCGCGAGGAGCAACCTGACTGCGGAGGAGACGCTGGCACAGCTGCTGCCGTGGGAAACGCAGACAACGCGCCGCGCAGGCTTCCAGGAAAGTATCCGTGAAAAGCTCAAGGTGTTCCGGAGAGAGGGAAATGAGACTGAATAAGATTCACTCCTTCACCCGGTAATAGTTGTTTTCCTGATCCAAAACTATTTCGTAGCTTGGTCGAAATCCGCTATACACAAACCGGGCCAGTGCCCGCAGCCACAAACTAGCGTCACCGCACCACGTTTTACCCTCTATTTTCCTATAGCGGGTTTTATTTATTTTTTTTTTATTTTTTCTCTTTCTTTTCTGCCAGTTTTGGCGAGGGGCCCCACTATGCGGCTCGACCCCTCACAACTTAAGGACAATAGTATATCCTTTTCAATGGAAGTACATTGTTATGTTGTTTTTTCATGTCTGACAAGTTCCTGTCTTATTGTTACGATGTTGAGGTTGGGCATGGCATGCTATGTTCTCATGTTTGTTAATGGCTTTTAAATATTATAATGTACTGTCACTAAATGTAAACGGATTAAATAACTGTATAAAAAGAAGTAAATTGATAGTTAAAATGAAAAGAGAGAAGGCAGATATTATATATTGGCAAGAGACTCACTTATCTAATTCAGAACATGACAAACTGAAGAAAATGGCGTTCAAAAATACATTCTATTCATCACACAGAAGTGGCAAAAAACGAGGAGTGGCAATCCTAATACCCAACAGAATTAAATTTGAGCTAGTATCTGAAAAACATGATAAGGAAGGAAGATACATTTTGGTAAATGGTAAAATAGACCAAAAACCTGTCACACTGCTTAATGTATATGCACCTCCTGGAAGTGACACAATATTTTTCAAGAATATATTTAACTTAATTACGACTGAATGCCACGGATCTTTAATCTGTGCTGGGGACTTCAACCTTTTATTAAATACCCGATTAGACACAACAAATAGTGGCAGGAAACATACAGCCACAGAGAAAGCAGTTAAGAGAATGCTTTCAGACTTGGGGCTCATCGATGTGTGGCGCTTTATGCACGGATCAGCCCCTGGGTTTACCTTTTACTCTGCACGCCACTCCGCCCACTCAAGAATAGACTACTGTTTTACAAATAACAACAATTTACATAGAATAAAGGAATGCAAAATTGGCCAAAAAGACGTGTCTGACCACTCAGGGCTATATCTAAAATTACATCTGGATGGGATACAGAGGGAAACACTGTGGCGACTTAATACCGGTATGCTGAATGACTCAGCATTTATAAAGACTATGACATCAGATTTGTCCTTATACTTAAAAGAAAATGACAATGGAGAAACAAGTCCTAGTATTTTATGGAATACAGCTAAAGCTGTCCTTAGAGGAAAAATAATTTCAATATCAGCTAGGCTTAAAAAACAGAAAACACAAAAACTCTCACATTTGCAAGTACTACTGAAAATGCTTGAAGAAACTCAATTGACAGACAAAAGTACAACTGTAAGACAACAAATTCAATCGACTAAACAAGAAATTGATAAGATATTAGGAGAAGAAGTGGAGAAAAACATACGGTTTATGAAACAGAGATATTACGAAACGGGCCCAAAAGCATCAAAATTACTGGCATGGCGACTCAAAAAGCAACAGGCTGAAAATACAATATACAAAATAAGAGATCCAGACAGCCGTAAAGTTGTAACAAGTCTGGATGACATCCAAAGCGCTTTTGAGAAATATTACACATCCTTATATAGTCAGTCTGGTTCAATTGATGAAAATGCCACAACTAGTTTTTTAAACTCCTTGGATCTCCCCTCTCTTGGTCGGGATGCAAATGAAAAGTTGACCTCACCCATAACACAAATGGAAATAGATAAAGCCATATCCAGTCTTAATTCTAGCAAGTCACCAGGCACTGATGGGTTCCCACCTGAATGGTATAAGAAAATGAGGGAAGATCTAGTACCCGTTTTGGAAATCAGTTTCAATTATATATTAAAGGGTGGCCCTATCCCCCCATCATGGAAAGAGGCCTTCATATCTGTGATACCTAAAGATGGGAAAGACAGAACAGACTGTAAATCATACCGTCCAATTAGTGTCCTAAACACAGACTATAAACTGTACATGACTATTTTAGTTAAAAGAATGGACACAGTGATGCCATCGCTCATTGACGAGGATCAAACTGGATTCTTAAAAAATAGGTAGACCCACGACAACATAAGAAGAACCTTGCACGTTATCGAACAAATTAACAAAAAAAAACTAAAAGCAGTTATTCTCAGCCTAGATGCCGAAAAAGCTTTTGACTCCGTTCAATGGGATTTTCTTTACTCTGTAATGAAAAGATTTGGATTCTGTAGTGATTTCATAAAATGCATCCAAGCTCTCTACTGCTCCCCCACAGCCAGAATCAAAGTAAATGGGAGTCTTTCAAACCCCATTCAGCTCCAGCGGGGCTGTCGCCAGGGCTGCCCCGGAAGCCCAAATTTATTTAATCTTTTTATTGAGCCCTTAGCCCAAGCTATAAGACAGGAGACTAGATTAAAGGGTATTCAAATAGGGGGAGAGGAGTATAGGGTGTGCCTGTACGCTGATGATGTCTTAATAACAATGACAGAACCCGACCTTGGTTTACCAGCGCTGACAGGAATATTAGAGCAATATGGTTCCTTTTCTGGTTACACCCTCAACACTCATAAAACTCAGATTATGACATTCAATTATCACCCTAGACAGGAATTTATGACTAAGTTTAATGTAAATTGGTTCTCTGAGCAGATTAAATACTGAGGGGTTAATTTACCTAAAGATCTCTCAAAACTATCTGATAAAAACTATAACCCTCTTAACCAGGAAATATACAGGGACCTGGACAGGTGGAGCCTCCTCCCCCTTGACTTTGGAAACAGAATACAAACAATTAAGATGAACTATCTTCCAAAATTGCTATACGTTTTCTCATCCCTACCTGTGTCTATTCCTGACAAACAGTTCAGGGAATGGAATAAACATATCTCCAGATTTATTTGGCAGAAAAACAGACCAAGAATTAGATTCTCCACGTTACAATTGCCGAGGGAGAAGGGGGGGCAGGCTCTTCCCTCTCTACGGGAATACTACATATCAGCACAGCTAAGACCCCTGGTCTGCTGGTGTAACCCATCCTACTGTGCAAAATGGAAAACTATTGAGAGGTCTTACAGTGATGTGCCAATTCAGGCTATATTAGGTCACATTTCCCATGAGAGTTTAACCGAAAGCCAGTGGGTAAATTTTTCACTGAAAATATGGAAATCTGAAGTAAAGAAACTAAAGATTCAAGAGGAGATCAAACTTCTCAGATGGCCAGCCTACGACCCTGACTTTCCACCTGCCTCTCATGATGCTACATTTCGGCACTGGGCATTACCTGACATCACGGCTGTATGTACGGTTTATGAAAAATCTAATTTAATGACATTTGAAGCTTTATGTAAGAAGTTCAACCTGGAAAAACATGATTTTTTCCGATACTTACAGCTTCGTAACTATTTTCCTAAAAACATGCAACATATTAAGTCTGATCCTTCTACACTTATTCTCATTTTCATTAATGCATATAATTCCTCTAGTCTTAAAAGTGTAATAAGTAAACTATACAGCAGTTTGACTGCACTCAAGACAAACTCAACTTACATAAAGCAGAAATGGGAAAAGGAGATGAACATTGTTATTTCAGAGGACATGTGGACAAGGATTTGGGAAGTACAGTTCTCAACGACCAATTCAAACACCTGGAGGGACTTCTGTTGGAAGAACATTGTCCGTTTCTTCATAACACCGATACAAAAATCCAAGTTCAGCCCTACTCAAACACACTGCTGGAGAGAATGCGGGGAAGCATCAGCAGACCACGGACACATTTTTTGGTCCTGCCCGCTCATTCAGCCATTCTGGATAGACTTAGAAAACATAATTGCAAAAACATTGGGATATGGCATCAATAACTCCTTTTTGGTGCTGTATTTGGGATGTTTACCCAACAACATGGCCGCAGATGATTTGTACCTTTTCAAGATTCTGCTGGCATCAGCCAAGAAGTCCATAACTAAAAACTGGTTGCAGAAACATCCACCTACGGTAAATCTGTTCATTTCAATTGTGGAAAATATTAAACTCATGGAGCGGATGACCTACACTTTGCGACTTCAGGAAGAACTGGGAAAAAGGCGCTGGGCAAAGTGGCTGGACTTTATAAATAGTGACAGTACAGAGACGGTACAACAAAAGTGAATTGTAGACTCAATGTTTATATTTTTGTATTATATTGCTAGCCATCCCCCAACCTCTAATGTTTGTGTTTAAAAATTGCAAAAATAAAAAAGTTTCAAAAAAAAAAAAGAGTTCATTAGCGCACAAGGGCGATGCGATGATGCAGATTAGATGGAGCTAGCCGTCGCTCACGCAAGGCGCTTATCGACAAACGTTGGTTTCTCTTGTTGTCCGACACGTTTCAACACGTCCCTTTCAGTTAATTTTGACACACATGCACACAGAGGGACAAAGACAATGCTTGGTAATTTCCCTTATCAGTTCAGTGCTTTTAAATACGGACCATTTGTGCAAGTGCAGAAACAGTATTTGGACAAAGACAGCGCAGAATAAAAGAGCGAGCTAGAGTTGGAAAATCCATAGCATGCCTGTTATCTGGGCCATAATTGCTTTTCCTCTCCTCCTCTGCAATCTTTTTCTGGCTTCTACCTTCTTCAAATAACCTTATGCTAAATGCACATAGCTAAAGCAAGATCTAAAACCATCATATTTGTCAAAACATGGCGAGTAAATTATTTTCATTACATTCTTACATTCTTTGGGTGTCATAGTGAACGATTGGGGAAGACTTTGGAGATGCCTTTCAGACAAATACCCCTTGCCGTTCGAACACACAAGAGCAGTCACAAATGCATGCAGTAACAGCAAGATGCCTGATTGACATGATGCGTTTAATCAGTGACTGGCCTGATTAGCAGCACACTAGAGCCCCAGACAAAGACATGCATTTAGTCTTCCAAATCAAAAGAATGAAAAAAAATATTTAGAGACATAAAGGAGGGATTTGAGGGGTAAGATGAAAAAAAAAAAT